CTTTTCCCAGGATAGCAATATGTAGCATGATACCCTCAGGATGCAGAGCAGTGGCAGGAGCCCCAGCACTCAGCCAGTCAGGAATCCAGGAAAACAACCAACACTCCAGCATAATTGGTGACCCTTTCACTGCAGCATCTCCATCATCCAGCAATTAATTTTAGCTCAATGCTTCAAACATTCTTCAGGCTCGGTGAGCTCTCCGCTGTGTATCAGTGGTGAGAACTCACACAATCATTTTCACTTTCAGTACAATGTTTTGTTTTTTTTCACTTTCAATGCAGTATTCAATAAACAGTATGAGATATTCAATACTTTATTGCAAGGTAGCCTTTGTGTTAGATGATTTTGCCCAATTGCTCTGCACATTCTTAAGGTAGGTAACTTAAACTGTTAAGTTCTATAGGTTAGGAACATTAAATGCGTTTTCCACTTGTGATGCTTTCAATGTGCAAGGGTTTTATCAGTAGGTAACCCCCTCCTAAGTCAGGGAAGATCCCCATTGGGGATATCAGGAGCGGACATGTGCTTCTGTGTCTGGACGCCTCTAAGTGTCAGGGAGGAGAGAGAAGCTGAATAAGTAGATACAGTTCAACTGCGAAGCCCATGGTCAGCCGACCAAAGAAGCGGAAGACAGTAAGGAAGCACTGGGGCATGGCGTGCGGGCAGATCCTGACAACAGCATTACCCGGACTCCAGCTATTGCGGGCAGGGCGCTGGGCTCCTCCATCGACAGGAGGCTATCCTCATCTGACTGATGATAAATGAATTTGACGAGGTAGTCTCTTTGATTCATGCAATTATCCCTGGAGAGATGGTCAATTTTGGAGCAGTTCCTCCTCTCTTAAGAGCCACTGACTGGCTAACAGCAAAAGCAAAGGAAGGGTTTCCCATAGCACCACTGCTTCACCCCCCCCCCACCGCCCCCCCATCCCCACCCACAGTCAGAGTTGCCAGGCACAGTGCTTGGAAATCCGTCAGACTTCAGGGGGATTGGAGTACTTGAGAATAGATAATGGTGGGGAGAAGGGATGTCACGGGAGCCACAAAGTAAGGAAAAAGGAGGAATATTCCCAGGTTGGACAAAGATTTAAGACTGTCTGCATTTCCAGGGACTGGAAGAGAAAGGCAGGATGGGTGGTGAGCCACCTCGCACTTTCCAAAGCAGGCTCCAAGCCTCTCCAGAGCTGCTCACAGCAGGAAAGTTTCTCCCTCCCCTTCCTGCTCTCCCCTCCCTCCCTTCCCTTCTTCCTAGCCCTTCTCCAGAAAAGGTTTATGAAGAAGATTCCAAATAGCCCCCTCTCCTGCAGGCATAGTCACACCAACTGAAAGGAGATTTAATTAGCAAAATCTCGTTAGGCAAACGAAATTATCCGTAAGACAATACTCCTCTGGACAGGGGGTATGATTAAACAAAGCCATTAATTGAGAGCGTCTCTCTGGCAGCTCCCCGGATGCATTCATTTGCCTTCTTGGGCCAGGGGAGCAGGCTCTGCCGCCTTCCCTGCTGGCCCCACCCTGCCCCACTTCATCTCCACTCTTCCAGAGCCCCTCCATTTGGGGCTGCAGACCTCGGCATCTCATCAGCGGCCTCTCTGCCGCCAGATTCCTGCTAAAGTGCCTTGATTGCATAATGTCTATTTGCATAATGTAAATTGCAATCTCCTAGCTCGGGAGGCAGGAATCACAGAACAGCCATTATTTTTTACCACTCCACAAAAATTCTACATTTAGAAAGCAGATTTGCAGCTCAGAAAGCCGTATAAATCTGAATCCGCCAGAAACGCCATTAAATCACACCAATTAAGCTGGACCAACGATGAGCCCCTGTCACTGTTCTCTGCACACTCAAGGACTCCCAGCCCAGATGGAGGCCATGGAAAACTGGAGGCTGTGGTGCAGGGCTGGGAGCAGGCACTGCAAGAGGCAGGAGATTCTGTCCTCTGATCCTGAACGTGCACCCCAGGCAGAGGCGCCCATCCAGACCTGATGGGAGGAGAGGGGTGGGGTGCGGAACCAGTCTGAGTTCTTTTTGGGCTTGCTGCCGGGTTTCTTGGCACACTGTCTGCAGACTTTTAATTTGTGGATGGAGACAGCATATGAGGAAGAAGGTGGCCCCTTTAGCAAAAGAGATCCAAGGTACTTCACATGGGGGGTCCACCTGCTTGCATTTTAACCTCTCTTTAAAGACCACTTCCCTCTTCTCCAAGTCTCCAGCCAAGTGAAAGAAATCTTAGGACAAATCCTGTTCAGACTGGACTGGACTGGACAGTGAGCTCCTTTTAAGAGCTATTTCTTAGGGGTCTCCGGGGAGAGAGGTCAGTCACAAAGTCCTAGCAAAGGGCCATTCCCTCTGACAACTCCTGAGTCCAGCTTCCCTGGAGCCTTTACCTGGTTACTCTTTTGCCTCTTTATTGCTCATTCAATATTCATTTGTCAGAGGGCAAGATGCTAATGTGTATTATTAAAATATCAATAGTTTATGAGTGAACTTTGATGGAGGGTACAATTAAAGGAAAGATTCTTGACCATCTCTGTCAGGAGAAATGGAAAGGGACAATCTTTCTTTCCAAGTCCATTTTTCATTATTTGCTGGGTGAGGGGATAAGGGAACCACTCTTGGGTCCCCATGTGTGCCCGGAGGGACCCCAGTACTGGGTTTCATACAGTCCCCAATGAAGTCAGGAGAGGACACAATTCCATTGTTAGTCAAGAGATGAAGAATCTATTTTTTTTTTAATATTTATTTATTTATTTATTTATACAAGCACTGGTTACAGTCAGAAGCACGGGAGGGTGACAGAATTCACCAGAGCCAGAGCGGGGAACAGAATAGGCAGACTGACGAAATACACTGCTGAGGGAAGCAGCGGGCGCGGCAGGAGAGGACTGCCGCGCCATGTGGGACATTCTTCTGCAGCCGGGGATCAAACTGGTGCTGCAGAGGCTGCAGGCAGCTTCGCAGCCCAGCTCTTAACCACTGTGCCACCAGGGGAGGCCCAAGAGATGTGGAATCTAAAGACCAAAGAGCTGTGCCCAGGACCACAAGGTATTGGCTGTTCATGAAGTTGGCATCAAACCCCAGCTTTGGACTTCAGACCCAACATTCCGCCCCCCCCCCTCCAAATCGGGGCCTTGGAAATACAAATGATCTTCATGTTTTTATCTGTTTCCTTCAGCTGCCCAAATTAAACATTAGTTTCCTGACCTAAGTTTCACCAAAGGGGAAAGAAGAGAACAGGAAATTATTCCATGGTTTCATACAGACCCCATTTTCAGAAAATGGGGCTCCACTTTAGACATTGCTAGGTGAGTCCCCAGAGTCTTTTCCATACATCTAGAACCCCATAACTGAAGGTGACCTTGAAGAGGACATCATTAGATGTCCCCATTTTACAGGAGAATAAACTGAGATTCTTGGAGCTCCGCAGTGAAGTGAATAAGTCTCTGGAAGAGGGTGCTAAGCTTGACTTCAACTGCTACTAATTTAATCCGTCATTCACTAGGGGATTTTTTCTACTTTTTGAGCCTCTGCTCCTTTTCTGAGAGACCAGCATCTCACAATGAGCCTCAAATGCCTAGCAGAGTACCTAAACTGAAGTAAGTGCTCAGTAAATGTTGTTTGTTGATGCTAAGTTAATTTGTGGAGACTCCAGAACTCTCCCTCCTAACCTCAGCCCTACTTCTTCATAACCCCCTTCTCTGTCCTGCCCCCTCCTTTCAGCATTACCTATTTTTCCCATCTTGATCCTTTGGGAAAATGAATTGGGTTTATCCTAAGTCAAAACAAAGTTCCCAGGGCTTTCAGATTCTCTTCCAAAATATAGTTGCATTTGGAGCAGGAAAATGCCAAGAGAAAGGGAGTCTGGTCCTCAAAGGGCGCAGCCCCTGAAGGTCATTGGGGAAAGCAGAGGGGAAAGCAGGAAAGGAGAGGACATGGCAGAAAAGCAGGAAGTGTGGCCTAGATCTCCCCAGTCCCCAGCACTGCCCAATGGACTCCTAAGTTCTGATTTTTGGCTGAAACCTATACCAGCTTGGAAGACCATGGAGTTGGGGTGTGGAGCCATGGATGGCAACAAATGACTAGAGGCTTGTGGAGTCCTCAGCCTAAGGTCCCCCTCCATGCCTGGCACTTCAAGCTGTGGGTAGCAAACTGGACCCACTTTTGCTGAGATGTATTATAAGGCACGACTTCTAAGGGCAACTACAGCACCTCCTAACATCGTCATGATCTCTGGGAATCGCCTTGGGAGGAAGTCTAGCCTGTCTCTGGGGTCCCCTTAAACCCAGATATTCTGTAAGTTAAGTTACAGATTGATTGAAGACCTAAGTGGGGGTTACCTTACCTGTCTTTCTAGGGAAACACATCACTGCACAGAAAGGGCCCATTTCATTTTTTTCTGGGACATAAGACTGCTCTGTGGTAGACTGTACTCTCCAAAGATGGCCATAACACCACAGATCCTACTCCTCATGCTCTTCTTTTCATGCAATGTTGATACTCCTTGAAGAGGTAGGGGAGTGGGGTTGTCTATGTCCCCTCCTTTAAACCTAGGTTGCCCCTTGTAACTTCCAGTCAACTTCCTCGGAACTTCCACAGAATGTGGTGCAGTGATGCTGCTTTGGCAGTTTGGCTTCTACCGGGCTCTTGTTCTCTCTCAGGATACCCTCCACCCCAAGATTCCACTCCCCATATTGTGAGAAAGCCCAAGTCACACAGAGAGTTCACAAGGCTCCTGCTGACAATCTCAGTGTCTCAACCAACAACTGATTTCCACCCCCAGAAGGACAAATGAATGAACCTTCAAGATGATTCTAGTCCCCAACTTTTGATTTGCCCCAGGTGACATCCCGGACATGACAGAATAGAAACAGGCTGTCCTCATCATGCCCTGCCTGAATTCCTGACTCAGAGGACATGTGAGTGTAACATTGTTACATCACTGTGTTTGGAGGGGTGGGGTTTGCTACATAGGCATAGTAACCAGGTTACTGGTAACCAGGTTACCGGAACTAAACCATTCACCACCAGAACTAAACTAGAGTGAGTGCTATTTCCCTCTGAAAGCTGTCACTGGTCTTCTTTCTGTGACTTCACTTTCAGACTCTTCCCTCCTCAACCAGTCCTGGTCACACTGAGTCTGTTCCCCTCTCCAACAGGCAGGGTCCTCAGGCCTGAGAAGGCTTTGGCAAACCACTCCTGAAAGACCCTTTGAATCTTTCCTCTTTAGAGGCCTAAAGAAACCTGCTCCTCCTTGCTCCTCAGTGACGTCCAACCACATGTCCCTGTAAGGAAGCTTTTTCTGGGTGTGGGTGACCCTGTACAAGGTGCCCGGCCACCCTCAGGGACAGGAGAGATTGTGAAGCCCTCATTCCCCCACACTCTCTGCTCTCATTAAGGTTCACACTCAGCTCGCTCCTCTCATACTTGACTTGACTTATGAGGTCCCTCTAAGCTCCGGTGCGAGGAGACATTGATTCTCACAAAGGTCATTAGCTTTCTCCTCTGTCTCCTCCAGCCCCCAGCACCATCTCCTAGGTAAGGCTTTCCTGGAACAGGATGGAAGGAGGCACCCTTCCCCTCCCCCTGGGCCTGGAGATCCAACCACTCCAGAGCCCAGGCTGAGAGGAGGTACCCTGGGAGCCCCCTCCCGTCAATCACAGAGGCCACCAGCACTGAATCGCAGGCCATTAGGCGGGAGGGCCGGCGCCCTGCTCACTCACCGGGCAGTCATCGGCAGGATGTTAGACGATCGCGGGGCGGCCATTCTTATGATTTATTCAAATACTCATTACAGTCAATCTATTTTTACACAGAGGTGAAGATGTGTGCTGATAATGGTTAATCATTTATAATTCCATGGACTGGTTGGGAGCCAATGTACTAGCAAAGCCACAGCCCCACACAGTCTCCGGTTGCCCCAGAAGCAGGGTGGAGACGATTGGCAGCCCAGGGCAATCCCATCTCCCAGCTAACATTTGCTGAGCAGCAACTAAGCTGAAGGTGTGGGAAAAGAAGACACGAGAATCCCAGACTGCCTGCCAGGAGCTCAGTCTCGCTGGAGGGGGCAGAGTGGGGTGTGGGTCAGAGTGGTGGCCAAGTATGTGAATGCAGAAGAATCCAGAAGGTGAAATCACTTCTTCCTGGAGCTACCAAAGAAGATTCAGGGAGGAGAGTGACCCAAGCCAGTTCCTACAAGTGGACAGACTTTTTGCCAAGTGGGAGAACCAATAGTGAACAAATAAAGTGAGTCCTCACTTAACATCCTCAACAGGTTTTTAGCAACCAGGACTTAAAACGAAGTGACACATAACGAAAGCATGTCCTCAAAAAACATCCTCTTATTCAATGTCAGCTGGCCAGGACTCCCTTTTTCTTATCAAAGTTATAGAGACAATGTTGAACGAAATGCTATGCAAGGATTCCCTGCAAGGGTAAGTGTAAGGAGGAGCTATTACTGAAACTTCTATCTCATACTCTACCTTTTCCAAGAAGCCTCTCTGTTGAAATTTATAGGAAAATAGTAAAGGGGAAGGGCCTCCTCTTCTAGGAAGAAAACCTTCAATGGCTCCATGAGCTCACAGCCCAAGCCTGGCCTCTCTGCCTGACTCTCAAGCCCCAGATGCTATGGTCTGTCCTCCTTCTCAGAAAGAGTCCCTCCTCCCCACTCCATCTGGGTCCCTCCTCCCATCTCTAGGGCAGACCAGCTGCTGCATCATCCCAGGGTGCTCCCTGCTTCCCCCCCTCTTCCTTCCACTGGCCAAATTGGGCTTGAGTGCTGAAGGAAGGGAAGCAACCAGCAATCTTTCTTTTTTCTCCTCTCAGACCTTCCCAGAAATAACCAGATGTAGGAGCAAGCACAGCTCTGAACCTGGCCCAGATCCTCTCCTCACTGCCGCCCAGTCTTCGCCCACAGATGATAGTGGCTGAGGTCCAGTTGGGTCTTGCAAAATCAAGAGTTTCCCTCTCCGAGGCTCAGGACACACACAAGACATCAAGTCCACCGTAATGCATGATCAATAAAGTCTAATTAAATAGGACGTCATATTACAGGTCTTCTTTGTCACATTCAGACCTAATCTAATTATAAGTCCACTGTATTTTACATTCTGACTGGTTCATTGTTGAGTGTTTCTCTTACACAATATATGGCTGTTAAAGATTAGGTTCAGGGCTGGTCTTTAACCCATAACCTTATTGAGTCAGCACGGAAATACCAATAGAAGTTACTTACAGTTCACAGCGCCTTTTCTGGTGAGCGGCATGGAGGACAGAAGGTCCAAGTCCTGCTCCAGACTTCACCTGTCAAAAAAAAAGAAAGCATTTTTATAGATTCTGTAGGATTCTGCTGAGAATAAGAGTCAAGGCAGAGATGGGGGTGAACTCAGAAGTGGGCCTGGGTCAGGAGCAAAGTCAGGGATGTCAGCCCTGTGCCCACAGTGCTGAGTGGGGGACTCCTGTAGAGAGCTACCCAGGACAGAGAGATGGGATCACTCCCTCCCTACCTGCATGGTGCCTCAGTTTCTTGGGAGTTTTATCCCCTTCCCTATAGTAACACCAGCCCTGAGCTGATCAAGGCAATAATGATTTACTAGAGCCTTCTGTCTGATGGAAGACCCATATAAGGTGGGACAGAACAGAAAAGCCCCCGTAAAGGTTTGTAGCCTATTTGGGGAAGTCTGCAAAAAAAAAAAAAAAAAAAAAAAAAACAAGTAGACAAGCAAAACCAATGGCTGTGGTTTGTGGCAGGATTATGGGGAGTCTGATGGAGGAGAGAATGCTCAAGTAAAAGCAAAGAGTCCAGAAGGGCTGTAAGGAAAAGAATGTATGTGGAGCAGAATCATGGAGTGAGATTAGAAAGATCAAAAACATGCCTATTTTGATTCTCTTTCTAGGGTAAAGCAAGAAAAACACCACCCACAAGACAAACCCAGCACATATTTATCAGGTGTCTGCTCCATGATTTACACTCAGTAGGTGCAACAGGAGTAAAATCCAGGGGTGCTGTTATAAAAGCATGGCCACATCACTGGGGAAATAAGATGACCCACGTGAAGTATCAGTAGATAAGACAAGACTTAATATAAAGTAGTGGGGAATTGTGCAGTATAGGCTGTAATTCTCTCTTCCTAGAGAAGTGAAGTCAGTGAGAACTAAGACACTTGAGGAAGTTTTAAGGAGAGATAGAACTTAAATGAGGTCCTAGAAGACTGGTCAGGCCCAATTTGGCCAGTGGAAGGGAGAGAGGGGGCATTCCAAGAAAGGGGAGCACTTGAGCCCAATTTGGCCAGTGGAAGGAAGAGGGGGGGAAGCAGGGAGCACCCTGGGATGATGCAGCAGCTGGTCTGCCCTAGAGATGGGAGGAGGGACCCAGATGGAGTGGGGAGGAGGGACCCTTTCTGAGAAGGAGGACAGACCATAGCATCTGGGGCTTGAGAGTCAGGCAGAGAGGCCAGGTTTGGGCTGTGAACTCATGGAGCCATTGAAGGTTTTCAACAAGGAAATGACTAGAAGAGGAGGCCCTTCCCCTTTACTATTTTCCTTCAAATTTCAACAGAGAGGCTTCTTGGAAAAGATAGAGTATGAGATAGAAATTTCAGGCATGAGGTACAGTAGAAGTACCTCATCTTCATGAGAAGATGTCCCTCTTGTTCATGCTGAGGTCCTCCATTATCTCCCCATGGAATGGTGGGAATGCAAAGTACTATCAAACCCACATTCGCAGCGTAGCCTCTGAAGCTAGCTACTGACATTGGCATGACCAATGTTAATAGCTTGTGGAGGTATCTCAGAGACAAGATCAGACCCCTGGACTGCAGATCGTTGAGACAGAGACCGAGACTTAGCCCCAACTCCAGCAGCATGCCCAACATGTGTCAGTTTCCCCGCAAATGTCTGTTGAAATGTTTAATGGTGGACCTTGTTGATTTCAACCAGTCTACAACCAGCACCTTTGCACCTCCCCGTGGCTGACAGTGGGCTCCAGCATATTCTTCTAAACCACTGACACATTGCTACTGACTTTCTGTAAACTCAGTACAGAAAGTTGGTAGGTTGGGCCTCCCTGGTGGCGCAAGGGGTTAAAGCACTGCACTATGAAGCAATCCGCAGCCTCAGCAGCATGAGTTCGATCCCTGGTGGCCAGGGAGAAACCTGCATGGTGAGGCAGACTTCTCCTGTCTCGTCCACTGCTCCCCTCAGCAGTTTGTTTCAGTCAGTCTGCCTGTTCTCACCCCACCCTGTCTCTGGTGAATCCTCTCACCCCTTGCATCTCTAGCCTGCACCCGAGCTCTTGTATGCATAAATAAATCTTTTTTAAAAAAAGTTGGTAGGTTGAATTTCATGGAAAGCAAGAAGTCTCCAGGTTGAATTGCTTTATTCCTGCCCTCTGGGACTGTCTCTTGAGACACCAGCGACCTGGAAGGAGATATGGCAGACTTGCCATTTATGCACAATACAAAGCTGGGAAGGAGAACTTCTTGTGCCAAAGAGATGGATTCAAGGATGGCATAAAGCTTTTAACAAGCTAAAAGGATAGGCCAAAGCTAAAAAGTCCCTTTTTCCCTCTACCAGTCTTTATTTCTTACACAATAACATCATGACAACTACAAATAAAATAATTTTGAAAACAAAGAAAGAAAAATTGCCCACAGTCCCATCACTCTAAGCCATCAAATTATTCTATCCTATGTCTATGAGAATCCATTTTTTTTAAAGAATTGTAGAAAAAGATTTGACAAGAATATATACACCAAATCCTCCTCTTATATTCAAAAATCAATCTCAGAAACACAGAATGGGGTTATTTGAGGTGAATGCAAGCTCAGGATGGGCCTGATACAGTGTTACTCCAAGTCCATTCAATGTGACCTTAGCTTGCATTAACAGCCATAGGGTGGCCAATCAAAGAAAGGTCCCTCCCTTGGGTTTGATCAGTCCATGTTAATTTCACATGCAGTTCTGGTGGCACATTTTAGTATTGTTGAAAGTGACAAGTAAAGGAGAAATGAATAAAGGCATTTGGTGGCCAGAGGGCTGAAAATACAGGCTCTGGGGTAAGGCTACAGGTTTCAATGTCAATTCCACTACTTATTAGCAGAATAACTTCTCCATGCCTCAGTTTTTTGTTTTTGTTTTTGTTTTTTTTTTGGCAAAATAGAACAAATGAGAGTTCTATTTCTGAGGGCAGAGGTACTGCATATGATGTATGAAGATTGAATGATTTCATATACTGTAAGGTGCTTAGAAGTGTCTCGAACAAAATAAACACTGTTATTTTCATTATTAGGAGGTGGGAGATATGGGAGAAGTTTGTCTATCTGTAATATTACCCCTTTGTCCTAGTTCTGTTGACTAAAGCATGGGGTGGTCCTTTAAAGAAAACAGGACTGGGTAACAATGGGACTGGGTTGCCCTAGAGGACTAGACTAAGGGTAGAAGCCAATTGTTCTTTAGCAATGAGAACCATTCCCAGATGAGGTCAGTTTCCTCTGAAGGGAGAGAGCTCCCAGCTCTGGAAGGTGAACCCTACACTGGATAAGCTGCTCCAGAACATGAGCGCCCAGGCTTGGTTTTACCCATTGCCAAATTTTAAAAACAAATGAGGAGACTTGATAGGATTGACAAACACCTAGATTGCTAAAGCATTAATAGTTTCACCATCATTTCATAAAGTAATTCCACTCCCAAAAATAAGGAGAGGGGCATCATCTCATTTAAAGGTGCTATTGTTATCTCCCTTTGGAAGATGAGAAAACAGGTTGGAGGGGTTAAGCTTAGGTAAGTTATGGACCCAGGCTTCTGTGCCTGCATGACTTTTTTTTACTCTTAGCCACAATGATGAACTTAGCAACCTTAACTGAGACTTAGAGCTCTTCCCAGGAGGGTTGGCCTGGACAATCTTAGAGCTGTATAAAGATAGAATTTTGTTTAAAGGGTCATCAAGAGGGGCCTCCCCTGGTGGAGGGGAGGATGCTTTATTTATTTATTTTAAATAAATAATAAATAAATAAATAATAAATAAATAAATAAATAAATAAATTTATTTATTTAAAATAAATAAATAAAGCATCATCAAAAGATTTTTCTCTCTCATCTCACACACACACACACACACAACCTCTGCACATTGTCCTTATTTTCCCTCATCACCATGCAGCAGTGGAAAAGTGTTTTCTTCCTGAACCGGCCCTGGTCCATGGACACAAGCTTAGGCACCATCCACTATGGTACTTTTTGACCTTCCAAAGTCAGCAATATGTGGTCCTAGAAAGGCAAGTGGTCATGTCAAAGTCCTTCAGCCAGGCAGCCAGGCAATAATGCAACAACATTTAAAATCAGGCCAATATTATTCACCATGAAAGTAAAGTGAAATCATAGATAAGACTGATCATTCCATACTTATAAATATGAGGAAACTTTTGGAATGGTAAATGAAAGACTCGCTGAATGGTCATGTTTGTTCGGAAATGAGGTGGTGAGAGGAAAAGAAGAAAGTTTCTCCTAGCAGACAGCACACTGGAACTTGACTCTGAAAACTTAAGGAGAGTTGAGTGAGCACCCATGAAATACCCAGGTAACTTGGAAGCATATAGGGAGATAAGCTTGGGGCTTATCAAGGTCACAGAGAGTAACACAGCGAGCACTAGACCAGGAGGTTTATGCCCTGACTCTTTCATTAAGTTTCTATGTGATCTTGACATGGAATTTTCACACTTTATGACTCAGTTTCCCCATCTGCGAAATAATAGGATTCGACTTCTTAACGACCCTTTATTTATTTATTTAATTTTTTGTGTGTGGGACTCTCGCTGGCAGCCGGGGGATGAAACGGCGCTGCAGAGGCTGTGGGCAGCCTCGCAGCCCATTGTTCAACCACTGCGCCACCAGGGGAGGCCCCTCTTGATGACCCTTTAAACAAAATTCTATCTTTATACAGCTCTAAGATTGTCCAGGCCAACCCTCCTGGGAAGAGCTCTAAGTCTCAGTTAAGGTTGCTAAGTTCATCATTGTGGCTAAGAGTAAAAAAAAGTCATGCAGGCACAGAAGCCTGGGTCCATAACTTACCTAAGCTTAACCCCTCCAACCTGTTTTCTCATCTTCCAAAGGGAGATAACAATAGCACCTTTAAATGAGATGATGCCCCAGCAGCATTTTGCAAAATGCCTGGAACATATTAATGACTTAACAAATGGGGGCTGTCGTTATTCAGTGTGATGAGGTAAGGTCTAGCAGCCACTGAACAGAAAAAGAAATAAATCAAGGAAATGGAGGACCTTATGCTTCATCCCACTGCCTAGGAC